TTCTAACCTCCTTTACTCCAAGTCTCTCTGTTTTTAAAAGGCATAAATAAAAACATGTAAAAATTACTAATAAAAGGTTTTATCTGGAAAGATTACATTGAATAAATGTGGCTGTGCTTAAGGTTTATCTACACCAAATGGCTGTGTGCTGGAAATAAACTTTCATAACCCAACCGAGAACGGAGTGTTTTCATTCTTTGCACGCGGAGACGCCGGTTTCGTCCACCTTCCCCTTCGGTGACACTTCCTGGTGTCCGGGCGAATATAAATTTTTCTTTGCAAGAACACGTGATGCTGAGCAAAAAGGCTGATGTTGTGCAATGTTGTGCCGAGATGGGCGCCTCCTGCTGGTATCACTCCCACTGGCACCCCCTGCTGGACAAGCCAGGCCACTGCCGGTGGGCATCTCGCCCTCCTTTTCTTGCCTCGGGTTCAACGCGTCTGTTCTACTCCTTCCCAGCCTCTAACCTTACACCGTGAATATCCGTATCAACACTCCGACGGCCAGGATGCCCACCGCGGCCCCCGCCGCCAGCCCCCGCCTCACGATCAGTTGCTTTGTCGTCAGAACTTGGCCCGCCGCGGGGAGGCTGGCCATCTTCTTATCCTGCAAGGTTGGGCCATCTACCGTGGTGAAGCTAAGGAGCACAACGCCGTTCTGGGCATCAGTTCGTCCTGCAACAGAGGACGGGAGGACCTCAGCTCGTCTGTTCAGTATCGCACACAGGGAAGTTTGAAAGAAGGAACAAGGCAACCCCATTGACTTATTCCCCGACACCTATTTTGATGTGAACCTAGGTCCAAGGATAGACTGCTCCACCCAGTGGAGGTTCTGTTGAGCGATGACAGCGAATGGACTGAGACGGGTTGGCCAAATCCGCTCTAAAAATGTCACTTAGGCCAACAGCATCAACCGTGCAAGCTAACTCTGGAATAGGTTCACACCCCTGGCCAAGCTAAACCCAGACAAAAACATCCGGTGGCTTACCGTGTTGTGTAAACCAAGTCAACTGTGGTTTATTTAACCCACCAAGGTGAAAGGGTTTAGCACGAGGCGCAAGTCAGGTCAGTAACCTTGGTGGGTGAACGACCGTGCCAAATTTGGAAAAGCAATGCTGAGCGGATTTTTTGTGAAACTACAATGCCCAAGCTCCCCAGCTGGCGATGGCTGCTGGGCCTTGGTGTTTCCAACGTGGACGGCCCATGGAGTTTCCAGAAGTAAGCATTAAGTTTGCATTTTGAAAAAGCAAACTGACCAGCTTTAATTAGAACGAAGCATTTGAAGCTGCCCAGAGTCAGAAAAAAAATATTTTAAGGTAGGGAAGCAAGTGACAGCTCCTCCATGAGGACTAGCAGCAATCTAATCCTGGAGAGCACTTTCGTGCTCCCAAGATACTTCTCTCTCTCTTCGGCGCTCGGTCCAGCATATTTTGTGAATGGAGCCGGCGGCAACGACGGCAAAATGATGAAGGGGATGTAAGGCCGTGGTGTCACGCACACGCCATCATTTTGGCCTCATTGTGGCTGCGTTCACAAAACATGCCGGACCTGAGGGAGTTTGCCCAATCTACTAAGCCAGTGTTTCTCAACCTCAGGAACTTTCAGCTGTGTGGACTTCAACTCCCAGAATTCCCCAGCCAGCATGCGCTGGCTGGGGAATTCTGGGAGTTGAAGTCCACACAGCTGAAAGTGCCTGAGGTTGAGAAACACTGTACTCAACCCCCCAAAACTTAATGCTAAACCAAGCTTTGCCTGTTGAATATCCGCCAGGACCTCACCTGACCTGTTGAATAAAGCCTCCCAGGGATGGTTAATAATGGGGAGTGGAGTTTTCCACTTCCCTGGGCATTTGTAAGAGTCGGCTCCCACCCCGAAAAAAAAGGAGACGCCGAAGACTACAATACCCTCACAAGGCCTCCCTGAGGACCCCCGGTTTGCCGGACCACGGGGAGCCAGTTCGAAAGACGCTGCGAGGGCCTCTAGCCTGAATGCAAACAGGGACGTGCTGCTGCTCAGCGGGACCCAGTTCCGCTGCTGCGATTCTCGCAGTGCCGTCCGTTTCGCCTCAAAGCGTTTTGCTAAAGAAAAGGCGAACTCACACTGGGTTTAGGTGGATGCCAAGGAGCGTGACCGCATCTTTTGGGGTACGGTGGGGGGAACCGGATATTTGCAATGCTAGCCTTAGCATGGCTACAAATCCTTGCCCCCCCTGCCCCCCTCCAAACCCCGCTCGCATTCCTTACCAGAACAGGAAACAATCTTCTCAGGAATGGGAGCTGAATTCAAATCCTCCACTGGCTTCTGCGACAGTTTGGCACGGTGCTGTGCCTAAAAGGAAGAGCCGGACATTAAAGATGATGATGATGATATTATTATTATTATTATTATTGTTATAGCCTGCTTTTATTTTGCACAATTCAAGGTGGTGTACATAATGTTCCCTTCTCCTGTTTTCCCCACAACAGCCCTGTGAGGTGGGTTGGGCGGACAGAGAGGAACTGGCCCGAAGTGTCCGGGTTTCCATGCCTGAGGGAGGACTAGAACTCATGGCCTCCCAGTTTCTAGTCCAGCATCTTCACCACTGCACCGAACTGGCTCTCGTATTAAGGCAAGCAGTTGTGGACTCTTTATTGTGTTTCCAACTGGTAAATACGTGCGAACGTCTGGCCACTATGCAAGTACCTGACATGCCCAGTGCAAAGGTGGGCCTCCTCCTGTGGCTGGGCAGAGTGAAACTGCTGCCGTGGGGTGAAGCTGGCTGGCGGGCCAAGACTTTAAGCAGTTAAAATTCCTTCGACCTCCTGCCTTGTGCAATTGTGTGCAGTCATGCAGGACAAACTTGCGGACGCCAAGAGCGCGAGCCAACAAAAACCGTTGCCAGAAGACCTTTCTCCTTGGATGGTGTTCAGTGTGCAAACGCACGGTATAGAGAGGCCAAGGGGCGCGAAAGAATGAGAATGACCGGGGGCGGGGGAACGGAAAAAGGGGTCAAATGCCGCCCGATGTTCCCCGGACGCCGGAGCAGAGGGGCTGGCTGGGCGACGCCGCTTACCTCTGCAGCCACCTGGTTCCAGTTCATCCGGATGATGTACGTGATGGAGCAGATGCAGGGGACCAGAGTGCAGATCAGCATGCCCAGCCAAAGCCCTGGGAAGGAAGACCACGGGGAGGAAAACCCCAAAAGTTGCAAATGCGATGCAGAGGCAAATCCTCTCCACTCCGCTCCTTTTCCCAGCACGGTGAGTCTCCTTCCTGCCCCCCCCTGCCCACTCTTCACGTTCCCGATGCTTCCCTGCCCCAGGAGAGCCAACTGACCCCTCGCTCTCCCCCTTGTCTTGCCCTCCCCGGTGATCCCTGGGGAGGTTCCCCCCGGCTTTCCTTTCTCTCGTGAAAGGGGTCGACAGGCATGGTGGCCATCGGCAGGGGTGTCCGTGCTGGCTGGGGAGTTCTGGGAGTTGAAGTCCACCCATCTTAAAGTGGCCAAGCTTGAAAAACACTGTGCTAGCTGGAGGAAGGTCCACATAAAAGAAGGACCCATTAAAAAAAGATCTGACGCCCCGATGGGATGTCAGTTTAGCCTTAAAAGGTAGCACTTCTTTTGGGCCCAACTTAATAACCAATAAATCAAATTTGTCCATGTAGTTTTCCTGCCAGCAATATGGAAGGAGTTGGCCACTGTTGACATCCTGGATATTTTGCGTTCTTTTCAACTTCCCACCCTAGGGCTCAGGGATACGCTGGTGGTCTCCCATCCAAACTTTAACCAAATTCAACCCTGCTTAGCTTTTTTGAGCATATCCAAGGTTGGCTTGAAGCTACCACCTCCCATGACAACTCAGTATTACAGGTCGTCCTCGACTTATGGCCATTCATTTAACAACCGTTCGAAGTTACGATGGTGTTGAAAAAAGTGACTTACAACCAGTCCTCACACTTACAACCATTACAGCGTCCCTGCAGTCACATGATCAAAATTTGGCCACTTGGCAACTGGCATGTATTTATGATGGTTGCAGCATCCCTGGGTCACATGATCACCATTTGCAACCTTTCCAGGGGGCTTCCAGCAAGCAAAGTCAATGAGGGAAGCTGGATTCACTTAATGACCATGTGATTCGCTTAACAAATATGGTGAAAAAGGTCATAAAACTGGGCTCAACTCACTAAATGACCACATCGCTTAGTCCCAATTGTGGTCATAAGTTGAGGACTACCTGTAGTTGCATACAATGCCTCCATATAACTCTCTGAGCAACACCAGTACCTATCATTCCAATTTTGGCTACGAAAAGCAACACAACCCCCAAGGGCAGGCCTACACCATAGTAGCCCAAAGCGTTGAAAATGGCGCCTAGTTTCTGCCTCCCAGTGCCACGCAGCACCCCGCTGGTTGTAGCCTGCAAGAGACAAAAGGAAGGACGGGTTAGAACAGTGTTTCTTCACCTCAGCAACTTTAAGGTCTGTGGACATCAACTCCCAGAATTCCTCAGCCAGCCATGCTGGCTGGGGAATTCTGGGAGTTGATGTCCACTCATCTTAAAGTTGCTAAGGTTGAGAAACACTGATCTGGAGACTAGCCTGAGCATCTCCACCATCCAGGACCTTGCACCTGTGGGCAAACGCTACGATGAAGAAGAAGATTGACTTAGTGGGATGTGTGAAACCAGTGACTCACTCAGCTTATATACTGAAGGTCCCAGTAAGGCCCATTAAAAGGAGCAGAGGATGAGAAAGATTTTGGGGCTACCACTGACATTCTAGAGAATCCCTGAAGAAACATTTTTTTATTCTTTTTTTTAAAAAAGAAAGGGAGTATGTTTTTAGCTTTTGCAACTGTGAAGGTTGAAGGCACTTGAGCCGTGTCTTGTGGTGTCTCTGGAACTGGTCAATAGGGTTTGGAGAATAAGTTGTCTAGTAGTGGCCGAGGGACATTTGGGAGGGTCAAGAAAGTCAAGATGGTGGCTACAACTGTGGGCACCTCCCTCTCAGATGCTCCTGCAGTGGCCTTCTCTCCTTGAGTCATCAGAAGACCAGCTTTTTATGGAAGATAATCAACCCTAACAAATAAATTATATAAATTATAAGAAATAGGACACAATTATTCAATTTGCATGACCATTATAGCTGACCAAATCCTGCTCTGACCTCATTTACCAGGGAGCAGAATTATTTTTCTACATTCAGGGTACACACACCTCACTTTCTCAGTCTTCTTCACCATGCTATTCTTGGAGTGATTTCCCTGTTTTGAACTGCTTGTCTCTTTTCCACCTGGCGCAGGCCGTGTGGCTCGGGCAGTGACATCCCCTGGACAGCACATACTGGGGGCAGATGACGTGGTGAGCTGCTGCCTCGACTTGAGTGTGCCCAGTATCTCTTTCCGCATCAACGGCTTCCCTGTTCAAGGCATGTTTGAGAACTTCAACCTGGATGGGCTCTTTTTCCCTGTGATCAGCTTCTCTGCAGGCATCAAGTAAGCTTGACCCTGGTAGTGTGAAAATGAGACCAAATGGAGGTTGACCTGAGAGCCACTGTAATCTTAGACCAGGACTAGGGGGGATTAGGTGAAGATGGATTTGAATCTTCAGAAATTTCACTACATGATTTTGGGTGAGGTGCTCAATATCACCCCCTCCAACCACACAGGACAAAAGCAGGGAAAGTGTGATGGAATGTATCTGTGAAGCAGGAGGTGGTGTGATGGAATGCAGAAGAGATCTAGGTTCCCAGGAAGGAGGGTGGGACAAGAGACAACACAGTCCAGAGCAGGAGTGTGGGAAGAAGAAACTTAAGATAGCCGCTCCCTAGAATCTTCCAGACTAGATGTATTAGGTTAGCATAGTACAGATTTAGT